AATCCTTCATAAAATATGAAGGTTTTATAAAATGAAGATTTTTAATGTGAAATGCAAACAAGTTTATATATTAGAACTGTACTTGAGATTCATAAATCTTTTTTTAAAAAAAAAAATCTATTTACTTTTTTTTCATCATTGAATAACAATCTTTCTTAATTTTTTTTATAAACTTTTTAATGCAAATATATCAGATTCAAAGAAGAATCTGATAATCTCTGCTTAAGGAGTTTGTTATATATAGAACCATAGAAAAAGTTTTTAGAATCACATTTTTTAGGCATCTCAAGATATACTTTTTTTTAAACGAGTCATCATAAATTTTATAAAAAGTTTTACACCATTTTAAAATTAAAATTTCATAGAGAAGCTTCAGTTATTTAGTGTTTTAAGTATCATTTTTCAGTACCTCTCTTTAAAAAATAGTTAGGTTTCAAATTTTCAATACTATTAGGCAAGTATTTCATAAGTTAAAGTTAATTGTGTTAGGGGCATCCATAAAGTACGTACGCAGTAAATCACTGATTTAGGACCCCCCCCCCCCCTCCCTCTTGAACAAACCTGTACGCTTTTGAAGACCTCTCCCCCCCCCCTTCCTCTGCGTACGTACGTATTATGTTTATTTCAAAACTAATTCGATTTTTTTTTGTCTCATTATTTATAGAGAATTAAAGAAAATTGTAACTAAAAAAAAATACAATTTTGATTTGTTACACGCGTGAAATTCGATGTTTTTTTTAAAAAAAAAAATCCTGTTTAGGATAGTCAAACCGCGTACGTACGTCTTTAACACCCCCTCCCCCTCGTACGCGTTTAGGAAACCCCCCTCCCTTCATACCTGCGTACGTACTATATGGATGGCCCCTTATGTAATTAGCCTTAAAAATAAATGGAGCTGAAAAAATAATTCAAAAAAAGATTGTAACTGAGTTTCAATATTTCTGAAACCATAAGGTATTAGACATTAAAACTTGGAGTGAAGTTTCTTTCATTAATATCGGGTGGACACAAAAAAGTTCATTCAACTTTAAATTGAGTTTTTTCTAAAACTACAAATGTTTTTTATTTCCTTTATTTTTTAATTTAATGATACTTATCTTTAATTATGTTGAAAAACTTTTGTTTACAATTCAATGATTTGCAAAATGTTTCAGAAACAATTTGAGGTGAGAAAAAAAGTTGTCTTCATATCTGTTGATTGCTAAACGTACTAATGTCCCAAAATCTACAGTCATATATATTATAAATAAGTTCAAGACTACTAAAAGCTTCGAAAGAAAACCTGGAAGTAGAAGAAAGATAACTTTCCATAAATCCAAAAAGGTAAAGTCGACACTCAGTTTAATAGCAAGAATTCCAAAACAGTCACAGCAAAAATGATGGAATTAATAATTATAGAAGAAAAATACACCTAACAGAAGCTTAAATGGTGAATTTAAAGGAATTCGACGCGCAAGTAGTTGGTTATAATAATGGCGGATAAAACAATATGCACAATTGAAACTGAAAAAACATATTGCAAGGCGGATTTTTCACAACTATCTGTTCAACAATTTTACTATGAGAATAAAGGTAAACCTATTGATAATAGATTTAAATACATTCAACAAAAAAAATTTACACCCAAGTTCTTTGTGTGGGAAGCAACTTTTAGCTGTGATATACAATCCTCTTGTTTTGTCACTAAAAAGACCTTGACTACCTATTTCTACATAAAAGAATGCCTTCAAAAAAGACTTTTGCCATTTATGAAAAAATAAAAATACCTATGGAGCCATCTATAAAGGACCATTTTATAGCCAATTTTTGACCCCCTCCCCCCAATTGTCACAGGTTGTCCTTTTTCTCTATACCCCCTTGAAAAAAGGACGTCATAAAATCCTGACTCCCTCCCTATTTTTAACTCCAAAAAAATTTATTTCACCTTGCAATGATGTTTGAATCTGCTGCTACACCTTTAAAAAATAAAAGTAAAAATATTCTCAAACATTATCTTCTCAAAAACACATGTTTACGTAGTTTTCCATGTTAATTAAACTAAAATTAAAAATCTATAAAGCGATGTCCTTTTCTGACAACCTCCCCCCTCCCCTTGTCCTTTTTTGTCCTTTTTAACTTGACCCCCTCCCCCTCCCTATTTGGACGACGTCCTTTATGAATGGCCCCTATGCCTCTTTTTGTCAGATCTTGCTGCTTCTATTCTAAAAAAATTCTAGAGTGGTGCAAAAATGAGAATGTGAAAATTGTTCCTAAAGATATTAATCATCCAAATCATCCTGAAGAGTGTAAATGTAATGCTATGGATTTATTACCAGTAAAGTTTTGAAAAACCACATAAAAAAAGCTTAATTTTTGCTACAATTGATCTTTTATCAGAATAAATACTACCCACACCCTAAAATACAACAACTCTTATATAAATAAATACTACCCACAACCTAAAATAAAGCACATGTAATTATGTCCTCAGAGATCTAATATATCATAAATAACATTTTATGATATGCTAAACCCTTATATATGTATTATAATATATTAGGGTGACACAAAATTTGTAAAAAACAAACAAACAAACAAAAATTACAGTGCACTTTTTGGTCCTACCCTACTTAGGAATTCTACAAAAAATAAATTTCATAAAAGTTCTCGGGAAATGCTACATGTAAATTCCAGAGGTTTACTTTCTTGGATTTTTTTATAATTAGTCAACATATAGATTA